AGTCAACGGCTGCAAGGGCGCCTGAAGATAGTCTTGGTATCCAACTCCAAACCTCTCCATGGCGCTCCTAGAAGGCTGGCGTTGCTGTAGATTTCTGAGGTAGGAAAGATGAGGAGTCGGGTCATAATGCTTCTTGTTGGATACCGCGGCCTGAGTGAGACTAGGATAATCAGAGCCGGACAGAGCAGGGAGTTTGGTTCCTGTAGTTTCTTGCTCATCTACGCCCGGGATTGGGCCAACATCGCAGAGAAGGATCCATGGGGATGTCCGTAGGCGCATGAACCGACCGATGAGCGCCTGGTGTGTCTTGGACAGTACGGGATAGCCCTTCTGGTTCTTGATGAACGTGTTGCCATCAAAGGTGAGCATGTGAACGGGCTCGGAATACCAGCGAGACTGCACGGACATGGGAGGGAGGTGCTTAGGCATTGACAGTGCTAATAATACCATCTTAGCAGCAGGTAGGAGACGCAAAATGAAGACCATGGGTGATTATCTTACCTACGACAAGCCTGGAGTGGTATTTACAAGTTCTTCGTATCATGTCCCAAGCATCCCAAGTGCCAAAAGGATCCACTCGCAATGGCTGCCCTGTGAGCGGTTCTCCAAGGAACTCCTGACGAGCAAGGCGAGACAGATCGGCTATTCCATCTACTTCCAAGTCTGGATTATCAACCATAGGCATCCAAATGTGAAACTGTATGTAAGGAGCGAGGTTGATAGCATCCTGTATCGCTCTCGCATAGTAGCTCACGCCCTCTGCATGGATCTCTCCATGGTGCAGTTTTGGGCCGGGAATCAAGAGATACCCAAGGCCACAGAAAGCTGCATACGCGACCTCCCGCATGAACACCTGACGCGAGATGTCTGCAATCAGGGGATCCGGGGAGCATAGATCGATCCAACCGCTGGTGACTCCAACTATCTGCGACATCGTCTCATCCGGGGTCAAGTGGCTATCCGCGGGAGTTAAGGGAGGGATAAAGATGGGGCGCATATTGTCGGTCGTCATCAATGTCCCATTGGCAGCCGGAGTCAAAGGAGCGTTTGGTTTGGAGCCTAACAGGGTGAGGATGCGTGAATGGAAGGCCTCCGTGGTAATTGGTGCCGTAAGCATGTCATACTGAGTGATCCAAGTTAGCACACGAGCCGGAATCTGCACGAAGATATGCGTACATTGCTTTCATGGGCTGCCTGTACAATTGCAGCCGTAATCGGGTTCTTGCGGTTGGTTTCATGCTGTCCGATGCAAAAGCTAGGAGCCATGTCTTCTGGATTGAAAGAGTCCATGTTCGACAACGGCGGATATTCTAAGACGAGAAAAGGGCACTGGGACCTGGTGACGGGGCGATATGACAAAGTTAAATGCAACTAAACAGCAGATACATAGGCTGAGATCATGAGGCAGAGATTCGTTAATCGGACTGTATATAGGGAAGGAAAGGCGATGAATATTAACAACGGTCTCTATCTAGGTAGTAGCTGGTTAGTCCCGCATCGCAGATCAATTGAGTTTCCGGCAGTTTTCATCTCAAGGCCAGGCAGGTTCTGATATAAGAACGGCAACAAACATGGGAGAGCAAAGGAGGAGGTCCAGTCGCGTAGGGATGCTAACCGAGAAATTAAACGCCCCTTCAGTGGGAACGTCGCGCGACAATGAGCTCCTGGATAGCCCCGCGTACCTGAGCAAACGTGCATCGCGACGGACTTTCTTTCATGCCTGGATGCCTGGATGCCCCTTGCCGGCGGTAAGCGATCTCTGTGGGGTTTCCGTCGGCAGAATACAGGGCGGTGAGGCACGGAAACTGCAGTTGTGGCGAAGGACGGCCAACCTGCCTATCCGGGCCGCCTTTTTTTTCTGAAGCCGTTCGGCGACAATCCCATCTCTCGTTTGTCGCTCCGCAGCCAACTTTTTTCCTCTTCTCCCCCCCACAATTTCTTTCCTGGATTCGCTCTCTGCTAGCCGTCATGGTTGATCGACGATCGGATTCTGAGAACGGCTCGCGTGCTAAACGTCAAAAGATGGACAAGTCTGAAACCGATCCCAAGGACAACCCGTACCTGGCTCACATGTATGCGGACAACGGCAACTCCAACACATGGACCGATGGCACCACAGATCTTCACCCCGCCTTTGGGAAGATGAAGAGGCACCAGACCACCGCTGCGCTGGCTAAGAAGGTGGAAGATGGTGATATCAACCCCTTCAACGGTCAACCCTTCTCCAGCAAATATGTTTCTATCCTGCAGACTCGTCGCGATCTGCCCGTACATGCTCAGAGGTGAGTTTTAACACTCGTGCGGATGGGTTGCCACATCGCAAATGAGTTCTAACTTTTTCTTCCTTATAGAGATGAATTCTTGGAGCTTTACCAAAAGTCGCAGATTCTGGTCTTTGTCGGTGAAACTGGTTCCGGAAAGACCACGCAGATTCCCCAATTCGTCCTCTTCGATGACATGCCGCAAACTCAGCGCAAGATGGTTGCTTGTACTCAGCCTCGTCGTGTCGCCGCCATGTCCGTCGCTCAACGTGTCGCCGCCGAGTTGGATGTCAAGCTTGGAGAGGAAGTCGGTTACAGCATCCGTTTCGAAGATATGACCAGTTCCAAGACTGTGCTCAAGTACATGACGGACGGTATGCTTCTGAGAGAAGCCATGAACGACCACAACCTTAACCGCTACAGTACCATCATTCTGGACGAAGCCCACGAGAGAACAATGGCTACTGATGTCCTCATGGGTCTTCTCAAGGAAGTTGTGCTGCGCCGGCCTGACTTGAAGATCATTATCATGTCTGCTACTCTGGATGCACAGAAGTTCCAGCGTTACTTCAACGATGCCCCTCTCCTTGCGGTTCCCGGTCGTACTCACCCTGTCGAGATCTTCTATACCCCTGAGCCCGAGCAGGACTACGTCGAAGCTGCCATTCGCACCGTCCTGCAGATCCACGCGACAGAAGACGAAGGTGATATCCTTCTCTTCTTGACTGGTGAAGAAGAAATTGAAGACGCCTCACGGAAGATCTCGTTAGAAGCCGATGAAATGGTAAGAGAGGCCGATGCTGGGCCTATCAAGGTCTACCCTCTCTACGGCAGTCTGCCCCCGCATATGCAGCAGCGTATTTTCGAACCGGCCCCCCCTGCCCGCCGTCCTGGAGGCCGTCCCGGCCGTAAGGTCATTGTGTCCACCAACATCGCTGAAACTTCGCTTACCATCGACGGTATCGTCTATGTCGTCGATCCTGGTTTCTCGAAGCAGAAGATCTACAACCCCCGTATCCGTGTCGAGTCTCTTCTGGTGTCTCCTATCTCTAAGGCCTCCGCACAACAGAGAGCTGGTCGTGCTGGTCGTACGCGCCCCGGAAAGTGCTTCCGTCTGTACACTGAAGGAGCCTTCAAGAAGGAACTCATCGACCAGACATACCCTGAGATTCTGCGCTCCAACCTTTCTTCTACCGTGCTGGAGTTGAAGAAGCTAGGCATTGATGATCTTGTCCACTTCGATCTGATGGATCCTCCTGCTCCGGAGACTCTGATGAGAGCTTTGGAGGAACTCAACTATCTGGCTTGCTTGGACGATGATGGAAACCTCACTCAGCTGGGTCGCTTGGCCTCTGAGTTCCCCCTTGATCCCGCACTTGCTGTGATGCTGATCAGCTCCCCCGAATTCTACTGCTCCAACGAAATCCTTTCGATCACAGCTCTGCTTTCCGTCCCGCAAGTCTTCGTCAGACCTGCTTCTCAGCGGAAGCGTGCCGATGAGATGAAGGATCTCTTCGCCCACCCCGACGGTGATCACCTCACCCTTCTTAATGTCTACCATGCCTTCAAGAGTCCCGAAGCGCAGGACAACCTGAAGCAATGGTGCCACGACCACTTCCTCTCTCTGAGATCGCTGCAATCCGCAGACAACGTGCGCATGCAGCTTCTGCGCATCATGGAGCGTGAGGAACTCGAGATGGTGTCGACCCCCTTCGAGGACAAGAAGTATTACGAAAACATTCGCCGTGCGCTGTGCGCCGGCTTCTTCATGCAGGTCGCCAAGAAGGAGACTCAGGGCAAGAACATGTATGTCACGATCAAGGACAACCAGAACGTTCTCTTGCACCCCTCGACCGTCTTGGGCCACGAAGCAGAATGGGTTCTCTACAACGAATTCGTCCTCACCACCAAGAACTACATTCGGACTGTCACGGCCGTCAAGCCCGAATGGCTCATTGTAAGTCTTAACTCTACAACCAAACACCTAGACCAATACTAACACAGCACCTACCAGGACATCGCACCCACCTACTACGACATCTCCGGCTTCCCCAAGGGCGAGATCCGCTCCTCCCTCCTTCGCGCTGCTGAGAGACTTTCCCGCAAGGAGAAGATGCGCTCTGATTCCAGCAGAAGACGATAGACTAGGTTAATTCTTTGTTGTCACGATATCTATAGATCATGTTTTCTTTTTACTTCATGCCCATGATAATCATGCAGCTCAATTAAAAAGGGTGTATCCGGTTCTTCCTTTTTCCATTTTTTTCTTATCTTATTCACAGTACTTATACATTCGTCTGTTACTTTATTATCTTCATATCTCCGGGCTTTTTCTTACTCTGTTACGGACTTCGGTCTTCCCGGGGACTATGCAGTATTTATTCCACTTCAACAAATTTACCTCCGGACTTAGATAGGGTACGGATTAGAAAGCGAGATTGTTGTCCCGTGACATGTAGTGTACACATAAATTCAACCTAATGTAGATTGTAGTCGTTAGACCTCTAATCGAAATGCCCACGTCTAGTACAATAAAGTCACGCAACAGCAGACTTACTCCGCTAGTAACGTTATGCAATACTGACAACCTAGTCACTCCATTCAAGGGTCTGGACTAAATAATACCAATTCAAGGGGAATAAGGATCCAACGCTCAATTCTAACCCTTATATATCATCACAAGAAAAATAAAATGATATAGAAAAAAGTACAAGCTATAGTATGAATACTGTACAAAATGTCCCGGGTAGCATATATAAACCACCTAGAGATATAAAAACGTCCAAAGCAATCCCAATGCCGGCCAGAGGTTGGCGAGCTTATCATCGACACTTTCACCGTACATGAGTGGTATAAGGTAGGTATAGGATAGGATGTGATGGGTGTACGGAGGGAGTATGTTCCATCTGAGTTTTGAGTTGGGGGAGAGGGAAAAGAAAGGGGGAATAAGAGGGTGCATGCTCTGAGGAACGCGGTTGTTCGTTGCCCAGAGAGTACTGTAGAGTGCCTCAAGGGGCTGAGGTAACTGAGTCTACGACTTCATGTATCGAATACTGACTTTGTTGAAAGAAGATTCGAGTTCCGGTGCAGGAGCAATGTGTTCGTGTTTTCGACGTAGGAGGTGGTCTTGGTGGTGGGTAGAGCGAGGGGGAGAAGGAGGGGGCGACGGTATAGTAGACTCCTGCTTGCGGGTCTGGTGGAGGTCGAAGACCATTTGCTTGAGTTGTGAGATTTCGGCTTTCAGGGAGGTTATCTCCTGTTCTTGGGCTGCGGCTGTGGACTCGTTCTCCTTTTTGGCTTTTTCGACCTGTCTGCTGATTTCTTGGAGCAGGCTCTGGCGGTCCTTGTCTTCGAAGACTTGCTCGGGGACTTTAAGGGCGTTGGCTGACGCTGGGGATCCGGCGAGCATGGCGGTTAGGACCTGCTGGGAGTAGAGCTCTATCATGTCCTGCCACTTTTTGGAGGGTGATTTGCCCTCGTAGGCGCTCAGACGCTCGTTCATGACGTTCACGAAGGCGTAGGCTTTCTCCCATGCGAGCTTATCTTGCATGTCCTTTGGTGCGGCCTCCGCTGCCAATGACCATCTCTTGTGGTGGGGGTCGTGGGAGGATTTGATGTCCAGTTGCTTGCTGGCTGCTTCCCAGTTAAAACCGCTGTTCATGGCCGATGTGATGATGGCTTCGGACATGTCGTATTGCTCGCAGGCATCGCACATGTGTACCATTAGCACGATGAGTCGTTCAAGGCGGAAGAGCTGGTGTTCTGTTGACGAGACCATGAACGCCAGTGTTCTTTTCAGGGTCTGCACTCCCTTTTCCCAGTCGGTGCGGATAGCACAGAACCGCAGGTAAGAGTTAAGGATTGCAAAGTCGTCCATATGCCCTGCGGATCTCGCAGCTAGGAGGTATGCATCGGCGCGATCCGGCTGATCGAAGCGCAGACAAGACACAATAAGGGTGGCGTAGATGACGGGGTTCGCCGAATCCACTGGTGGGACGATGATCTCAACTCCATTGACCACTTGGCGCTGATACAGACCCAAGCCATTCATGTCTACCGGATAGCCATGCCCGTTCAACATCTCCAGGAAGATGTCAAAACCCATGAGGTTCTTGGATTTGCGGAAGAAGGTAAGGATCGTGAGGATAAGAGATGCGCTGAGCGGGAACTTGTGTGGAAGGATGGTCTTCAAGATCAAATCACAGAGATCGTTCTGACGGGTTTTGGTGAACGCAAGAATCATCTTCTTTAAGACTTCTGGCCGGTCCGGATCCGTGCACTGCATCAGATTGTTGGCTAGCCGGAGGAGGAGTTCCTGCAAGGGCATCTCATTCCGCATATAGATTTCGGTATCACGCTGGACGTCCCGATCGAGCCGATTCCGCTCTTCCGTCATGTGTCGTATCGAGTGCACACGAAGGTCCTTGGCTAAATCATCAATGTTAGCCTTCTCCGAGCCCTTCACTTGACGCATCCTGCGTCGAAGGCTGTTCAATTCCGCTAGCAACTGCGGCACCCTCAATTGGGGTATTGAAAAGTCGGCACTGTAGTTCATCTGAACCCCCTGATAGCTGTGAGCAATTGCCGGCCGCAACAGAAGTCTAATGGCTAGCTGCTTAAGCGCAAGCTTCCGGATGACCTTCTGGCGGACCACATCGCCAGTGAGCCATGTGGGCGTATCGTCATCCTCCAGCGAAAGGCCATAGTCCTCATTCGCGTCCTCGGCCAGCGGATCCTCGCTCTCTGCGACCAGATCACGGATTATCTGATTATCCCTCTCATTCGCAAAGGCAGTCGTTGAGTGGAAGGATGCAAACGGTGCGTTCCTCCTGGGCCATTGGTATCTCATAGGTGCCGGGCGAGTCGCTGTGCTGAACTGTCTGGTCTGTAATGTTCCATTGAGAAATCCCTGCTTCCGACGCGACATAAGAGCCTCCACCAGACGCTGTTCCTCATCCACCAGCTCAATGACCTCTTCCTTGACTGCCGCGATCTTTTCCTCCCATTCGTGACGGCGCTGGCCCTTGGCCTGGGCGTCTGCCAAAGCAGCGGCGGCGAAGATGCTGGTGTATAGTGCTGTTACCGAGTTTCCGAGCCGGAGGCGTTTCTTGCTGGCAGCCGAAGTACCTCTCGAGGCCACCCCATTGGAGACGGTACTTAAGCAAGAGACGCAGCGGCAGGTGGATTGCGCCGGAGCGGCGCGGGACCAAAGACCTTGCATTCTCAAGTCATTTCTGCCGTGAACCGACTCCAATGACGAAAATCAGAGGATGGGGAATGTGACCAATTGATTGATCACAAGGATCCGACGACCAATGGCGGGACAAAATCGAGGTCGGGGTGGAAAGATGAAGGGGGTCGGAGGGGGAGGAAATATCGGGGCGGAAGGTCGAGAATCTTTTGATGATTGATCCAAAACCGGCTAAACGAAAGTCGGACCAAAACCGGCAATGCAAACCAAACAAACCGGGGGAACTTCCAGCTGTTGGAACCAAGACTAAGACTGACTGGCTTGACTTGGTCTGGTTTGGAATGGAATCAGCCATCCCTTTCCTTTGTTCCCGGCGATCTGTCACATTCGCGAGATCTCATTCATTCTGCAATTTTACGACTCGTCGGATCTTCGCCTGGCAGCTCGTGGCTCTATAAATAAGTATATTCTCACCCGACAATGCTCGTCGTCCTCGCTACTGCTCTATTGGCCCTGAGCGGCAGCTTGGTGAGTGCCCACGGTTCTCACCCCGACCAGCCGCCCTCGTCGGATTGGGCCACCCGGCATATGCAAGGTATTTACTACTCCCATCTATCATGTTGATATCCGTCCCGAGAGGGAAGCAATTGATTGTGTGACTGACTCTCCGGCCCCAATTGAACAGAGGAGCATCACATTGATGCCTTCGATGCTGCTTCCTTCTTCTCCCTCCACGACTATGATGAATCCGGGGCATGGACTCCCGAGGAAGTGCGCAAGACATACGGCATGGACGATGAGACGAATGCAGGTGCCACAGAGGATCGCAAGAGCCAAGCCTTAAGAGAAGTGTTCACGCTCTTCGACCCCACGAATACTGGCTTCATCACCCGCGACAACTGGATGCGCATCATCGGCGAGGGCACTCGGCTGCCCGATCTGGGCTTCGGTCCGGGCCACCACGGCGACATTGAGTATGAGTACGAGATCCACCACTTCGAGAAGTATCATGGCGAAGATGCGACAGAGGAGGAGCTCACCCACCCCGAAGACATTGAGCACTTCCGGCGGCACGACGAGGAAGATCTGGCGATGGAGCGCCTCGAGCAGCTTGAGAGCATGCAGATCGTCGAGGCCAACATACCGCAGAAGTTCCTCAAGCAAGCTTAGATGAGTGTACATTAGATTCTTTATGTTGTTGTTGTTATAGTTGATGATGATACTGTACATAATAAATGTGTGATGAGACGAACATCCTCGTGGGTGGTCATACCTTGGAAATAATGCCAACCCAATCCAACCGAAGCGTCATGAACGTTATAACGTTATAACTCCAGCGCCGGTACCTTAACATCAAACACGCAATGCATCACCCCCGGAGCATACGTCTTGACCTGTTCAACATGTCGACACTCCGCCACGACCTCACCTTCCACCTCCAAAACCTCCCCCCTCAACCTCCCAACCTCCATCGTGACCCGATCCCTCATCTCCTCAATGCGCCTCACATCCACATTCTCATGCACATGCAACCAACCCCCCAACCTTCCATCCACCATCCGACACGCATCCCCCCAAGCAGCCTCCGACGACGGCAACAATCCCAAATTAACATGTCTAACAGGCGCCCACCGGCCCCTCACCTCCATCACATCCCTAATCTGCGCCAAAACCCGCGCCGCAAACCGATTATCCCCATGAAACACCACCACCTTATCCCCATCCTCCCCATCCCTCAACCCATCCACCAACTCCTCCACCCCCATCCCACCCTCCAACACCCCATCCTCACCAACCCTAACAACCCTACATCCCCACCCATTAGCCAAACACCCCCTCCGTAACCCCTCAACAGACCACCCATTAATCTCCCATCCCCAAACCCTCCTCACCCCGCGCCGGAGGTACGAAAACACAAAATACCCTATCCCCGCATACATATCCACCACACTCATCCCTATACCCTCCATATCCTCCCTCGCTAACCCCTCCATCCCCGATCCCAATATCCGCGCCTTCTCCGTAACATTCCCCCTCGAGAACATCGTATACATAGGCGCCCAGATCTGCTCAATGCCATGGTTCTGCACCGTGCTTACCCAGAACGCGCGCCCCAGGTCCTCTGCTGTTGGCGAGTCCAGGTCTGTGATTGTGCTGGGCGCGGGCCCAAAGTCCCCGTGCAGTGGGAGTAGGCCGCCGGGACTGCGCATGCGGTTCTCGGTGCCTTGTGCGTCGGTTAGGGCGATGGGGGCGTTCATGGCGATGTGGGTGAGGTTGTAGCGGGAGAAGGCGGAGAGGATGCATTCGTACAGAGTCGTCTTTTGGGTTGCCGTTAGGGTGCTGTAGAGGGTGTGCCAGGCGGGTGGGGTGGTGAGGGCGTTGACGGGGAGGAGGAGGAGGGGGGCGTAGATTGTGAAGCGTTTCGGGAGGGAGGATATGGGGAGGGTGGTGTCATTGTTGTTGTTGTGGTGGTGGGTTAGGTAGGTTGTGATGCCTTTTTGGAGGGGGTTGAGGAGCGTCGGTTTGGGTTTGCGGGGGTGGTTGTGGTGGTTGTTATGGTTCTTCGTGGTGGTGGTGATGACATTGTCGGTGGTGAGGGGGAGGGGTGATGTGGTGGTTGTGGTTGTTGTGTCGGTGGTAGATTCGGGGTTATCTGGGGGTGGTAGCATGGCGAGGGAGGTGTGTAGGTGGGTGCCAATCGCTGGTTGAAGCGTGTGGAAGCTGTAGATGTAGATGCAGGAAGATATTGTACCTTGGTGGTTACCGATGGTGTATTGATCTGACGAGCCATGATGAAAATTACATGATCTGCGGGGAGTGGGGAATGTATTGTGAGTCGGAAGTGGGCTGTCGAGCTAGGTTGGTACTATAGAGTGCAAGATAGAAATAATAATGACACAATACAAATCACATCAAAAATTAGGGGGGTGAACTTGCTGGATTACAGTCTAGAGTTTACTAATCTCGTGGATTTTTTTTCTCGTAATCCTAATGAGAAAAAAAATTTATGTCCAAGTTCAATTTACTAGTTTGAATACTCATCGTCAATCCTCTGTAAGCGTCTTTGTACAATTCTCTAAGAATCATTTCAATGGCATTTATTCTTAAGCTTTTCACTCTTTGTATATATACTGTTTCTTTATTGTTCTTTTCTCTCTATTCTTTCTCTACAATATATCTTATATAGTAAGTTCCAAAGAATGCTATCGGCCGGTGCCACTCTACCCATACGTTTCTTGAGATTGGCACGCTCGAAAAGAGAAGAAACCTCCCATTGCTATTATACTATATCTATGTCCGCCTCCGTGCACCTCCCCGAAGTAATCATCTAGACATTGTCCCGTAGAAGAAAGCCGCCATTCTGCAGCTTCTGGAAAACGCCCTCAGGGTCATACTTGGCCGCCACCTCCTGCATCCGCTTGACATTCTCGGCCCCATAGCTGCCCAAAACCTTCTGGAAAGCGGTAGCAAAGCTCATACACTTGAAATCCAGAAGAAGTCCTCTCTCCTTAGCCAGACTCTGCACCCTTTCAGACATGGTATTCACGGCACTTTGTGCAGCAACATCATCGCCATCTTTGGGCCATTCGCAGGTGAATACCCACCCTATTACAATTGGGGGAAGTTGCATTAGCCTTAACAACTGACATGCAAGGAATGGGGAGTAAACATACAGCATTGTGGAACACTCTCGTGGCCCATGATATTCTCACCACGGTCTTTACCAGCTTGAACAGCAGCTGTACCGACTGGCTGAATGGTATAATGTAGGACGGTATCAGCTGGAAGGGTCTTACGGACCTCAACCCAGGTTTTATACACTTCTTCGTATAGCTCGGGTGAGTTCCGGGTGGTAACTGTACAAATAGATCGTCTATATCTATATTAGTAACCATAAGAGTAAGCTCCGGTTACAACTAGTACTTACTTGAGAGGTGTCTGGGCATGACCCATAGCTTGAGCTAGAGATAAAAGGGTACCATTTGTCGAGGGTATAACTGTTGTCATCAAGCTTTTGAGGTCATGGAACGGCCTGAAAGTTTCCCGGGCCTCAGACTCAGCTGGATGGTCTCCATAGAGTAGGCCTACTGCAACAAAGCCGTTGTTGAAATTGGTAAACAGCCCAATCTTGGGATCTTTCTCCATAATTTTTTGAACTTCGAAAGTAGCCTGGTTAATTGCCACATGATCCTCGGGGTTGTAGAGATTGATGGTATATTGGACATTGATCAAAGGGTGGGTTTCAAGATCAAACCGTGTCACAATGCCTGTTATGATTGAGATTAATTAACATATATTCTGAAGACAACTATGCCATTAGACATACCAAAGTTAGAGCCACCACCCTTGAGGGCGCGGTAGAGATCGGAGTTCTCATTTCTATTAGCATTGATGAGTTTTCCATCCGCGAGTAAGATCTGGAGGACTCGTTAATTTTTAAATCCTGGTACTGCCATGCCCTACACTCAACTCATCGCCCAAAATAGAACAAAAACAAAGAATGTCAAAGGCATTCTCGAACATACCTCAAAGTTCTTCACTCCATCAGCGCCGAGTCCATAAAGATTAGGCAAAGCCCCCAAACCTCCTATTGCAAAGTAGTCAATGTCTTATTCCAACAATAAGGGGTCACACAGAGACAGGCAAGCAAGCAAGAAAGCACACATACCTCCTAAGAGGAACCCTCCCAGTCCCACCTGGGAATCCCTTCCCCCAATGGCTGACAGCCCTCGCTCCTCCAGCCAAGCATATACCTCGCCCCAGGTATTTCCCGACCCAAAGCGTGCAATGCCTTGTTGATCAGACAGTAGTTCCTTTGACCTAAGCTCCCTGATATCCAACACCACACCTGCTTCACCGGCACTGCTGAATCCCACATTCGGGTTATGACCGGTTGTGCGGACAGCGAACTTGGTACCAGTCTCTTGTACAATAGCCAGGGCCTTGATCAGTTCCTCAGCAGTGCTCAGGTAGACATATGCTGCCGCAGGAGTCCAGCAGGTCTGTGACCAGGGGTAAGTCACAGCAGCTTGGTACTTGTCTCCAGATTCATTGATCACCACTTTATCGGGAGTATCATCGGGAAAGATAGATCTAAGCTGATCTAAAGCAGCGGCCGCCATGATTGTCCTGTGTAAAGATGAGGATGGGGGATTGGATCAGTTGTTGTTACAGGTTGATATTTTATTGAAATGTGCTGAAGGCAGTGAAGTGAGCAGTAGCTGTCTTTTTGTTTTCTTCTCTTTTGGTTCTCGCACGAGCTCGACTGGAGGTGTCTGGGAGTTTTATATTACAAGAGACGCCTGTCACTTCGGCTCCTAGTCTCGCTTGAAGTCTCTGACTAGGAGGGATGTGCCCAAACGTGCATTGCTTGATCCACTTCACTCACTTTCTCTTTGTCTTTCATTCTCCTCCCACTGCGCCTCTCTCCGCTCCATCCAACCCCAACCCCTGTTTCTGTCCAGATCGGGGCAATGATAAGGCAGGATGGATAAGCACTAAAAGCACAGATACCCACATAAGGTGGAAAGTGGAGCCCAGCGGGAATGATCGGTTTTACTATAGCATACTAAGTATTTATCCAGCGAATACGTTGGTTGTCACAGTTGATTGGATATCTGATAATTAGCAGTCTGTTGGTGATTCACAGCTAGTGATATTCCGCAGATTTGGTCACCCGGGTTTTCTCATTGGTGCCCTGCTGGACACCTTCGTGTTATTCAAGCAACTACTGGGTCTTCTGCGTGGTCGTGCGCTGATAATTCAAACATATTATGAACGTTGTTTCTGGCGTTGGGATATAAAATAAGTTACTCTAGATTGGTTTTTTGTGTCGAATATAACAGGCAGGAGAAGCTTGTCTATGATACGGCTTCACCGTGATAAAGGTACTGTATATTCGGCTCATACGACTTCTGGATTGGATTACAGGCGTCAAAATTGCGGGTAGAGGGGGAGGGAGGAAGTCAAGTGGGTGTCAGACCAAGTTTTCATGCATAAAGTCATAAAGTACAAGCATACAGTACAGCGCTCGAACATCAGAAATGCATGACACTCGAGGCGGAACCGACCTCCATCACAAAGATACCCAGGGTCTAGGACATATGGGATTACATGGCAAGAGCATTAAGACGAGAAGAAGTCAGTCATCACATGATAGTATTCATGCAAGGCGGATAGGAGTAGCGCCCTAAGAAGGCTTAAACGATAGAGTAAGAACAAATAGGAAGGCGTATACTGGCCCTATTAGAAGTATATGAACGCTCAAATTAAAACAGAATGCAACGGGCGCTGTAACGATCGACTTGTAGCAGCAGTAGACGTAACGAGTGGTATCATGGCGAGATTAATAGTCCATCACGGAGTATCCCAGGCGGTCATTTGTGTCGAGCACACTGCTTATCAGTCAATATCAGTCATTCTATACCTGTAGATAAAGCACACTCACGAGTATTGTTTAGTCAACGTCCCCTCACCACCCTTGGAGAGATCGATGTTGAATACATAGAAGTTGCCGTCGCTAGTCACCACCATAACCTGGGGAGTGTTGGCGCTCATGGCGACCACACTGCGCAACGGGCCGTTGTTCCCGTTTGCTCCAGGTCCTTGGTTGGACTTGGGCAATTTGATCCAGGCAAAGTCTCGGGCGGGCTCCCACATCTCGCTGACTCCCTTAGGGAGGTAGCCTCCAACCTTGGCAGCAAATGTGCTCCCAACGTTTTGGGAGGTGCGCCGGATCATGCCCATCAGAGTTCCATTGTGTTTCCTCGACGCAAGCTCGGATGCGGCCATGTCTCCACCTCTATCATCGGCATCGGATAATTGTCCAAGTGAGCTTTGGCTAGACCTTCGATCAGCGGCCGTAAGTGAAGAGGATGGTGTTGCGTCTGGCGACTGTGATTGAAGGCTTAATTTGAAGAGGTGGATTGTTTCCGTGGAAGAGGATACACAAAGGAGAGTCGAGGTGGTGTTAAAAGACATGCTGTAGATTCTGGATGGTATCGACCCTCGTCGGAATTGGTAAAGCTTGCGCCCGTCGGGGACAGAGAATACCCGTATGATCGTTCCTTTGTCCGACGCAGTGGCTATAAGTGTTCCGTCGCTATTCAACGTGATACACGCTAGCGGAGACCGATGCGCTTCGATGACATTGATGGCTTCCAGCTTCAAAGTATCAAAGATCAAGACCTCGCCACTTGTAGGTGTAACATGTGTCGTTCCCGGAGGAGCGTGAGCTGGAGGTTGAAACGTAGAGGGCGGCGCCTTTTGCGGAAGAGGGTATGCAAGATAGCAGTTATCCGAGGATGGGGAGAGGGCACAGAGTGCTGCCGACAATTAGACAATCGAGCACATCCATAAAGGTAGTCGCAGCCTTACCGTTGGGGTTGGGAGAGGTCTCGATGGTATACAGGAGCTTCATCGTCTGGATATCGTAGAGGTATATCTGGTCCTCCAGCACAATGACAAGCCGTTTCCGGTTCAGCTTCACGGCCAGCACGGTCGTGGGAAATGTCAATTCGCATATCGTCGATTGGCGCTGTATGTTGCAGATGTGAGAAAAAGCGTTAACCATTTGCGCCTCGTGAATCGCGCAGCAGAAACAGGGAGAGATCATGCGATTTTTGAAAAAGAAGAATCTAACATCATGCGCGAAGGATTTCCTACGAACCTTGGTATTAGTTATTTGAAGGCGACGTGGTGATA